TCCTGCTTTTTTTAGTATTTGCATCATCTTCTCGTGTTGTACTCGATCAAACGCTTTCTCGTAATCAACCAGACATGCGTATACGTCGCAGTTAACGTCTCTGCATCTTTGGAATAAGACTTTACTGAGAACAAACCCTGTCTAGTACCAACAGCATTTGTGAATCCGAACTGGTTGATGGAAATTTTACTTTCACAGAGCTTGTAGGTTCACTTATGAATTATCTTTAGGAACAATTTTAGGATATGACGCTTATAGTACGGTAATCTTCGCATTTTGGCTCCTCGTTTTTTTGGAAGAGCAAGAGTTGTATATGTTGTTGAATATCTTTGCGATTATTGCTATTGATTCGTTGTCCATTAGTTTGAGTAGTTCTGCTTGTATATTAACAGGGCCTGCCGCTTTGCCATCCTTTAACTGTGTTATTGCGGGATAAACTTCCTGCTGTAATATTCTTGGTCCATCATTTAACTCAAAGGTGTTATCTTTTTGGTCTTCAAATAGTTTTTCTAGATATTCTTATTTTACTCTGTCGAAGATGATGTTTTCGTCAGAATCGGTTTTTCCTTTCTGCTTTCGTCTCAAGGCCGTATGACACTATACATTTTCTTGTATCATTTCTGACATAGAAAGTTATTTATGTTATCTTGTATCGTTTCTTGCACGTACATTTTTGCCCTGTATGACACTATGCAAGTTCTTTTACCAGAAATTGTATGTGATTTGGCACATGATTGGTCGAAATTTTGACACTTATAAAAATAGAACTGCAGTACATGAGGACCCCAAGCTACTGGGGACTGAGGACAAATGCTACTGATTATTTTTTTAAATACTGTGGTGCAAAAATGAAAAATAATATTAAAACTAAATTGGAAATCACAATTTTTGAAAATATTCAACAGGCTGTAATGGAAGACAGAAATAATAAATAATTTGGTTGTAATAATTTATTTGTTTTTTTTTTTTAATTATATGTTTGAATGGCATCCTCTTGAAATTCTACTCTCCTGAGATATAAAATAATCTTTAAACTCATCACTAATTTTTAGAGCGGTTATGTATTGTTTTTAGTAAAACATCTCCTACTTTCAGTAGTTCCGATGCTATTTGATACAATCCCTGTGATTTATTGTTTTTAAATTTGGCTACTGATGTTCTAATCTTTGTTATTGTAGGTGGGGTTGGTGGGCACTTTTCTCTGATGTCTGTTTGGTCTAATGGACAGCAGGAGTGTGACGTCACATCTGTCATAACTTTCCAAACAAAAGTTGAAATGTCAAATCTCAAGAGTTTTTAATTTCTATAAAGTTAACATTTTGCTTCCTCTGCTACTTTTTCTTTTAAGTATAGTGTTTTTTACGATAATACCATCACAATTCAGTGTTCTATTTCTATGAAATATAGTTTAAAAGTATACATTAAAGAAAGTCTAACCTTACTTTATTGATGCATTCATTTTATTGCTATTTTTATAAAAAACATGCTTTATTATTTACAAAACTTTGTAAAATTGTTGTAGTAACTATTAGAATACTTAAATATTGCAAAAAACGGAAAGATAATGTAAAAAAAATTTAAAAATAACGAAAAAAACAAATTATCCGCAGTAAACAACGTTTGTTTGAAAAGTGAAACTGACAGATGTCAATCAAATCTACGTCATCACTCCGGCGGTCCATTGTATATCAAAGTTTTCCTCCAGCCGCCAATATGACAGAAGTTTTACGTTTTTGCGGCTTTGCGCACAAATTGGCGCATTTCTTGTACAAGAAAATGCAGCGGACACAAATTGTATCGTTTCTGATATAAGAAACTATACGCTTGTATGACACTATCCATTTTTTTGTTATATCAAAAACGATATAAGAAATTATACAAGAAAATGCATAGTGTCATACGGCCTTTAGTCCTGTGAGTTCTCAATGGTATAAAAATTACATTATTTTTTATTATTTAGCATTACTGCTTTCGTCATCTATATTGTAAAGGCCAGATCAGTAGAAGTGTAAAGAAGGAAACTGTAACAAAACCAGTAAAACTGCCATCTATATTGTAAAGACCAGATCAGAAAAAGTATACAGAAGGAAACTGTAACAAATCTGGTAAAATTAGAAATTGCAATGCTTGAAACCATCGAGTTATGAACCAGTGGTCTATGCACAAGGTTATTAAAAATAACCTTAGTCTATGCAGCCGGGACATAATCACAGAATAATAAACAATCAGAATGCCCACTCTCCATGGAAAATTAAGTACGCGCATCTCCTTCGCGCAGACGTTCCGCCATGTTTTAGAGGGAACCAGTGGTGTACATAGAAAAATTAACCCCGTTTAATTGACATACGGCAATCATAGACATACTATACAATTATATTAACATCGTTAAATATAATAACATAAATATAAACAATTACATAACCTCACAAATCATATGTCTGTGTTATGAGTTTCCTTCTAAAACATGGCGCGCGTGCTGGAAAACTACAAAGGCGGCATCTGAGAGTGGACATTCTGATTGTTTATTATTGTGTGACATAACTATAAACTTAAGAATGAGAATGTTAAGGTGGTATATTTTCTCCGTTCTGCTGTACGGCATGGAAACCTGGACACTGAAAAAGATAAACATCAAAAACATTGAGGCATTCGAGATGTGGTGTTACAGGAGAATGTGGAAAATACCATGGACAGAAAGAGTAACAAATCAAGATGTTCTGCTGAAGATGGGGGAGGAATGCGAAGTCATAAAACCATACAAACGAAAAAACTGGAATATCTGGGCCACATAATGAGAGGAGAAAAGTACTCTGCTTAGACTCATAATCCAAGGAAAAATCTCGGGAAAGAAAAATGTGGGACGTAGGAGGATTTCCTGATTGCGAAATTTACGAGAGTGGTATGGGTGCAGTTCAATAAAGTTGTTCAGAGCTGCAGACAACAAAGTAAAAATTGTTGTGCTGGTAGCCAACCTCCGATAGGAGGCGGTACTGCAAGAAGAAGAAACAATGATAATGCGTCCAGTAAGATCTTGATTGACGAATAATCGGACGATCTTCTTACGTTTCTGTTACCCTAATAGTAAATATTTGCAGACACAAGTTAAAAATTTGTTGGCATGTGGATGTTTGAAAAATTGGCCTGTTGAGTAGTTAGATTTATAAATTTATTTATTTAAATATTAAATTTAATTTAAAAACATTGGTTTACAGTTTACATAGTCCTATTTGTAATGTTTAATTAGTATTTTTTCTTGCAAATTGAATGAGGCAGTATGTACAAACTGTAGGCTAAAAAAAGAAGACAAGGAAATAATGGAGCAGATTTTAAACGTGATTAGAAATCTTAAAATGGTTCCCAGTCTTTGGCTCTGTACAACAACTTTTAAAAACTTTACAGTGATCTAAAAACTTCTAATGTAATTGGTATATTTGTTTAATAAAAAAATTAAAATTTAAAAAACCACGCGGATTACTACTACTTCAAAACGTTTTCAGTTGTATAAGACCAGTGAACTTAAAAATAAGGGACGGCGACCTATATGGTGGCCTTCCTTATTCATTTTTTGATAAAACTTGAAAACTAGTCGAATTAAAAAAACAAGCTTTGGTGATAAATTATTTTATAATAGGGACATACATTGCTACATAATACATTTTATATTATAAAATTATTTACTTTTAGTTTAGAGTAAAACATCAAAATATTAACAAAAAATAGGCACATGCTATCTAATGATGGCCCGTTTTTAAAAGGTTGGGCTTCATAAATAAAATTACTTAAAATTTTTCAATTAAATTACAGTAAAATTAAAAAAAAAAAAAACATATTTACGAAATACTTTTCTTTTATAATAAAAAAATAAACAGTAAATAGCTAGAAATTCTTTTCTGGTTAAAAAGCATCACAAATAGAAGTAGTCTCTCTTGACCTAGGAACATCAGAATTTATTCTTCTTCTTTCAGTACCCTGTCCAATTATCGAACCTTGGCGATCTTATTGACTTTTTTTTTTTATTTAATTAATGACTTTGGATAACTTGATCCATTTAGCCACGATAATGTATTTGACTACTTGAATTTGTTAATGATATATTGACCTATTGCATTTTTTAACAAAATAGTACTTCGCCTAGAGGTAAATTAAAAATATAATGTAAACATCAGTATCACAAGAATCAGTAGCTTGATAAAAAACTATACATTCATTCGTTCCATTCAATGCCCTAACCAACCTAAAGTGAATATTCAGGACCCACAAGGGATTACATAATATAGGAATACTTTTCACGCTAAGGTGCCTTCCATCTTATTGACAATAATACCTTTGTTTATGGCGGCTCTAAATAAATTAGCGGCGGTCTTTTGATACCATTCTCGGAGATTTCGAAGCCAGGATGTTTTTCTTCGGCCTAGGCCTCTCCTTTCGGCGATCTTACCCTGAATTATGAGATTTAGAATGTTATACCTCTCTAGATGTCTCATTACATGACCGAATTATTGTTAACTTTCGAATTTTTATCATTTTTGTTATTTGTGTGCTCTTTTTCATTCGATGTAAAACTATTTCTTTGTTATTCGATCAACCCAACTTATCCGCAATACTCGTCAATAAATCCACATCTCAAGGGCCTTTAATTTTTTTTATTAATGTCTCTGTAAAAGTCCAGCTCTCCATATGAGCTCATATAAGAGAATGATGATGATGATGCCTATTGTAATTTTCTGTTTATACTATGTTGTATTCTATATACTATATTTTTAACTGTGTTCTATTCTGCTAGGCACTAGTTAGCATTTAATTGGATATTTTATTGTAAAAATGGATTTTAGCCCGTGAATAAATAAATAAATAGTTACTGGCCTAAATTTACTTGCTCGAGTAACTTTTTCATCAAAATGTCTTGCTAATTTCTGCTCAATAAAAAATTGTAATTCTCATTATCGTTTGCGGTATTTTAATTTTAATTTTTACTGTTAGTGTTGTTTCGTGTACTGAGATATTATTTTATGATTTAATCCATATTTTAGTGTGTTTTCGTGAAAAGTGATTTGTGATAATCAGTGACTGATAATTTGTAAGTAAAATAAATATAGTTAACCTGATCAAAACTACTTTTTACTTCTGTCATTCTATTTTGTATAATCAGTTTTTCTAGATCTTCCTATAATATTATATATAATTTAGACCTCTAGGCCTAGAAGATCCATGGCTTGGTTTATTATTCATTTTTCATTATTTACTGTTTGCTGCTGTATTTTTCAAATTTGGGAACTTAAGTTCTTTTAGTCTTTTTCAACATCCTTCTTCTACCTGACTTTCGGCCTACCTTTCTTCTTCTTTCCTCCTAATCCTTTGTTAGTATTGTTTTAGGTAGTCTCATTTTTGGCAGCCTTTGAAAATGACCCCAATATCTCAGTATTTGTGCTTTTATGAAGCCTACGATATTTGGTTCTGTATACATCTTTTCTAGTTTTATATTTGATTTTTTATAGACATTCCATTCCATAGCTTTTTTCCAAATATTTTCCTGAGGACTTTTCTTTCCCACATTTGGGACAATGACTTCTTCGGATTTATTCATGGTCCATGTTTCACACTTTTACAGGCATGTATTGCTTTGGGTCGTATCACTGTCTTACATATTTTTATCCTGTCTTACATATTTTTAGTCCTTCGAGATAGGTTTTTACTTGTTTAGAGCAAAGATGCCCACCAGCCATAATTCTCGCTTGGATTTCTTTCTTCATATTTGGTCTCCTGGTTAATGTCGCCCTAGGTACTGGAATCTTTTTACTTCTTCAAATTTATTTATTTTTCCTTCTTTCATTCTTCTCCTTCTAGTTCCATGACCGTTATCGATCGTTGGATATCATGTTGGCTACCATATTCGCTATCGTGACTTGACAGCAGTTCTAAATAATGATGTAGTCAATTTTAGATACCATTGTCTTTCCTTGAATAATCAAATTTCACACCAATATTTAATGAAATCTGAGCCGAAGCCCAATTGCCAAATATGCTCAAGTGTATTAGCTGTGAAACATATCCTAATCGAGTGTCCCCGGTACGGAAAACACAGAGTGCAACATAAACTTAAGCCAAATATCAAAGACGTTTTAAACTCGCCCGATCAAGTCTTTAACCTAATTGGTTTCTTGAAAGACATTCAGTTGTTTAACAGAATATAACCCCTTGTTTTTCATGTACTTTACCTTTAACTTATAACATAGTGATACAACTGTTGTATTATTTGGTCATAGGTTCTAAGCTTATAGATTAACTGTAGCAATTAGTAATATGTGCTTATATTGTATATTATATTGTTTGTGTCAATGGTCATTGCAGCCGAGACACATTAATTTAAATAAAAAAAATATATTAAAAAGTTTGTAAGTTTAGTTCTTATCCCCTCTCCTACATTGTAGTCTGTCAGACCGCATGTCTCTTTGTATGTATTAAAAGAGGGTCTCCCCAGTTAAGGAATATATACAAAATCCTTTTTGTAAACGTATATTTTTATCTACGTCTTCCTTGTTTTTAGCAAAATTTTATTTTTTTTATTTTTATTATTTCAGGACTCCAAAAGTAATAAACCATTATCTCGACTTTTAGAATACCTTTCTTACGATCGTCTTTGCAAAAATGTCAACAAACTCAGTAAGTATTTAATAAAAAACAATAATGAAAGAGGTGTTGCCAAAATACTCTAGTAATTTTCTACCCTCTACTATAAAAGCTGTAGTACTAATAAAGATGTTGGCCCAACACACAGTATAGTGCTTTAACTCTTAAAGCACTATACTGTGGCCCAACAAGTTTCAACAGACTGATCAATAGGTGTAGAGGTAGAGGATACAAAGAAGCAGATCAAGTGTTGTGTAAAATTTACTAGCATAAAATCAATAATATTTCATGAGTTTGCGTACACCGTATGAACAGAGTAAACTTACATGTAACAAGTATAACTCTTTTAACACGATAAGCGCCGCAATAAAATTTGAAAATACTTTGAAAAAAGACCAATATTTTTCTGTTTAAATTAAAAAATACCGATTTCGAAATTTTATTACATACGTTTCAGATAGAAAAAAATTGTTATACCTGTATCTTTTAACACGTTGAAAAAAAATTTAAATTTGAATGTTGAATGGCGTTTCACAATAACTTTTTAAGTCCATCGACTTTCTTATGGAAAGTAAATGCTTTATTTCTGTTTTTGATCGTTTCTACCAATTTTTTCATCTGTATCTTTCATTTATTTTTATCATTGGTTTGCACTGTTATCATTGTTTGATATTTATAACTCAAGAACAGCTGTACCGAAGTCACACCAGAGGAGCGCTATATAATATGGCCCTACTTCGTGCTTCACAAACATAAGAACAAGGGGAGAACATACGTAAAATATATCGGGTGACAAGTAAGTGATGAAATGCGAAATCGTTGAGCAGAACACTGAAGGACCCTTAAGCTAGCGGGGACAAATGAGCGGAATCCAACTTAACCTACGTATTATTTTTTCACCAATTTTTCACTAATTTATTACCACCCTAATAATTTTTCACCGCCAAACCAACCTGAAGGGGAGCGGGTCGGCTGGCTTTAGGTTCAAGCCAACAAGGGTGAATAATTACTAGTGTGGTAATAAATTCATAAAAATCTAACAGAGCACTGTGGTCTATCGTAAATATTATTTCATAATCATAAATAATTATTAGGGTGGTAATAAATTAGTGAAAAATGGATAAAAAAATATGCCATCGGCAAAACGTTTCTTTTCTGAATTCTGCTAGCTAGCTTGAACCTTTCGTTCTGGTAGCATATTCCTATTCTTGATTTCTGGTCAACGATTTTCCTTGTCTAATTAACGGTTGAATATCTGTGATATATCTATCTACTGACTTTTTTTGCTTTTGTCTTTTGTTTTTGATTTGCTCCTCCATTGGCACCAAATATCCTCTGAGATAATAATAAAATCTTTGCTAAAGTCTATCCACGATGTCCAATTTTTGCTGTTGTTTCGTAAAGCACGGACTCGTACCAATTCTGGTAACGCTTTTAATAAATCTTGTTTAGCGATCTCGTGGATCAGGCTTAATTCGTCTAGCTTTTCCACCATTACACCTGGTGGAGCTGGCAAGATATTCGTCATGTCATTGATTTTGGCCATAGTGCATTCCAGATTGGAAATTATTGTAGCAGTTGTTTCAGAAAGTTAAAATTGCCGTTAAACCTTCAAACGACAAAAGAACTGAATGCAACATTGCAAAACACTCAGAAATTGCCAAAATTTTGGTAGCAAGTAACTCATCTGAGATAAATGCACAATGACATACAAATGGGCATTGGAAGCAGTAAATCGAATATAAAAGATCTGCGCTATAACTCAAGATACTTTAAAGGCGCATTGATTCTACTGTCACTACCAAACTATCAAACGACCTTTCTACCAAAGAGTTTCCTACCAAGTAATTGCTGGTTATTTGTAACGGATTCATTTTGTTTCCGCCAATTTTTTGCAATTCCGTATCAAGGAAGGACGAGCTCATTAATGTTTTTCTGAACATCATTGTTAACTACAAAACTCACAATTAAGTCAACGAGAAATTTTAGCAGCAAAGAACAATGATGTAGATGGCTCAACCTGAAGAATTTAAAATCAAATCGTTGGTCTACTGCATTCCTTCAAATCTATCGACTCTGTAACAAACGAAGATGAAGCGTCCAACTTTCCCATTGAATTTTTATACTTATTGTATGTGTACCATTTACAACTAAATGTTGGCTCGATCATCATGCTTGTAAATGTAAAATAACCAAAACTCTGCAACAAAACGCGTTTGGTGGTGATAAAACTTATACGCGATAATACACGAGATGATACTTAACCGAAAATTTAAGGAAGCGGAAGATCTCGTTCCGAGAATTCTGATGATTCTATTCAAATTTAAACAAATTCAATATCTCATTCGTCTTGCATTTGCCATATAAATGACGATAAACAAATCACGAGACCAATCCTTGAGTATTTGTGGACTGAATGTAGAACATAGCTGTTTCCCTCAAGTTTCTGCAAATGTACTTAGCATATTCAGATGTAGGTAATCCATTCGCCTTGTTCATTCCGCACACGGCTACAAAATGAAAAATATAGTACATCACAAGGTGCTTTAGCGAAGATATTTAACACAAGTGTAACCCATTTAATAAATGGTTGCTTTGCTGCCACGTGAATTAGCTTCTGAAACTTAATATAACTCAGTTAATATCGTCACAAAATATTTGTCAATTCTAAGGGGTACGATGATCGTCGGGTCAGTTAGTATTATATAGATGCTTCGAAAGTAGAATAAAATATTTTAGGTATTTTTATTAATTAGATGCGGTACAAGCATATCTTGTTCCTTTTGCAGCAGAGCTGAAAAAATTCTATCCATCTCTCTGGAATTATATGACAAATTTGTTAATAGCCTAGTCTAATCATCTGATACCTCTTTCTTTGGCAATATTAAAGTAACCAGTTTAGAGACCTAGATCTTCACTCGAGCCACTTTATCGTTATCAGCTGATACTTCTCCTCCATTACTTATACTGACAATTTAAACATATCACAACAACAAATAAATTATAATATTAACCATTTCCGATGTTTGCTTCTTCGTTTACTTTCCTTTCACAGTTGGTATATTGAACATTGTACCGATTTTTTTTATATAACAGCTAATTGGTTATATATTCCAAATTTTAGTCTCAATCTTCAAATTCTCCTAAAAAAGGCGAACCACGTGATCGAATAAGAGACCGTTTTAACCACAGACGGGACAGAAAGGCAAAGGATACTGAAAAAACTCTACCTACCGAAATAGATCATGCAAAATTTAAGACTGTTATTAATAAAGTAGAAGAAAGAGTACCCTTACCGTCTTTATTTACTAATATACGTCCACCAGCTCCTAATGTGGAAAGAAGAGATTCTTCTAGCTCGTCTTCTGGCGAGTCTCAACCATTCAGTTCCTATCCATCAATGCGCAGATGTCAAGAAGGTGAATTAAGTGCTCTAGTATGTTATATTGAAGGAAATATAGCTCTCGCCAAATTGAAGTTAGCTGAGAAGAAATCAGCGAAAAAAGCTCGACAACGCCATAAAAAGGTATATCTTTTTTATTTCATTAAAAAAAAATAGAAACATGACATGATAAGTTCTGAGCTCAAATTTATATAAAAATATTTGTCCAAGTATTTTTCGGCGATTTTTAAATAAATCCATTATATATTTTTCATGTTTCATTTTTCACTTAACTATAAGTATTTCAAGCATTTTTTTTTTGTATAATTCACATATTTAATGTATTATGTATGTATACGTTTTTACGCCAGCATTTGTTTTTAATTCTAGGAGGAAGAACGGATGATAGCTGAGGAAGAACAGAGACAACGTGATGAAGAAAATGAAATAAAGCAAGCAGAAAAAGAGAAAGAATTGGCAAGAAGGCAGGCTGAAATAGAGAAGTCCAAAGCCAAAGCCGAGGCAGCTGCACAGGGTAAAACTTTTAATTTATAATTTTTACAGCGTTTTAACATTTAAATTGTAGCTCTTAAAGAACAAAAAAAGAAGTCAAAAAAAGAAAGACAAGCTGAGAAGAAAAGACAGCTTCAACAGCAAAAACTTGAGGAGGAAGAAAAGAAGAAAATTGTTGAAGAAACCATACCAGCTATGGTGACAATAAAAAGGGTTGCTGAAAGTGAAGGTAATGCTGCAACAGTTACCATAACCTTAAAAGGTTCAACTCCTGAAGAAGATAAACTTCTTGACACACTTCTGTATGGACCTGATGATAATGGAAACAAAGCTGTAGTAAACCCCCAACCGAACAAAAGTTCTAAAAAGAAAAAGAAACAAAAGCAGCCAATTCAAGAATCAAAATCTCCCGAACAATCTCCACAAGTTGTTACAAAAGAACCTAAAGTAACAGTAACATTAAATGTAAATAAACATCAACAAAACAATGAACCAGCCAGCACCAAACCTGGTAAGCTTATTTATTAGAAATTAGTGAAAAATAAAGGTACAATAATGAATGACACTCCATCAATTTTCTTCGTGGGTGTTCTCTTTTTCCTTTTGTATCAGCCTCAGTGTTCCAGTTATGTGACCCTGCTATTTTAATCTTTGAATTCTCTTTGGATATTCCCTTTTAAAACTCCGTCTATACTTTTAAGTATCTTTTACTCCAAAATCATATCCAATTTTAGCTCCATATATTTATTGTCCATGTCTTGCTTGCATAAAGCAGAGTACGTCGTATAACTATTATCTTCTTCTTCAAGTTCCACTCCTATTGGAGATTGGAAATCATTCTGGCAATTATAATTTTATTGGTTACTCGCCTGAATAGTTCAATTGAACTGCATCCAAACCACTCACGGAGATTGCGTAGCCACGAGATTTTACGTCTTCCTACGCTTCTTCTACCTTTGATTTTACCCTGCATTATATTCCTTAGTAGTTCGTACTTTTCACCTCTCATGATATGCCCCAAGTATTCCAATTTCCTGATCTTTATGGAATTTAAAACTTCGCATTCTTTTCCTAGTTGTTCGAGAACTTGTTCGTTTGTTTTGCGATCCATCCATGATATTTTCAAAATGCGTCGGTAACACCACATTTCGAATGCTTCTAGGTTTTTAATGTTGGATTTTTTAAGTGTCCAAGCTTCAACTCCATACAAAAGGGTAGAGAAAATATAACATCGAAGCATTCTTATCCGGAGCGATATATTGATATCGCGATTACAAAAAAGTTTTCTCATTCTATTAAAAGTTGACCGCGTAATTTCAATGCGGCATCTTATTTCTTTTGTCTGATCTTTCTCTCATATGTATCTATTTTAAACACTTTGGGATGGAAAAGTAAAATAATAGGTGCTAAATTTCTGGTATGTTTTTTAAGTTTAATTTGTGAATTTACTTACCCATGAAATGATATATCTGTCCTTTTTTTATCGCTGCTACAATTAAATGCATTGCAAGATACCACCATAATTAAAATATTAATGTATTGAAATTTTTTAAATTGGAACACTTAGTTTACAACGCCTATAAACACTTCTAATCTCTATTCTTTCTGCCGTAAACTGACGTCACCCATAGCTGTGTAAATCGTTTTATGTTGGCTTCACTCTTCGAGACCAGAGAATAGCATTACGGCGTGTCTATCAGTTTTTATGGTCCAAGACCATAACCAATTCTTTTTTGTCCCCTTTTGAATTATCCGCTGTTTAAGTATTTGTTTTTTAATCAACGTTTCATATAATAACTCACTGATATCTTCTTATCGTTTTTTGTCATCATTTTGCAAATATTTGGCTCATCTTTCTAATTTTTCATCCATTTCACCTAATATATTTCCCTAAGGATGAGAAAAGGGCATCTCAATAAAGGGTCATAAACTAAACAACCTACGTTTCGCAGATGACACAGCCCTTCTTGCAAATAGTCAAGCAGAGCTGATAGAACTTATAGGACTGATCGAAAACGAAAGTCAAATATTTGGTCTGCAATTAAACATATCAAAGACAAAGATCATGATAGTGGATAGACTACACAACAATCATCCACACATAACCACAATTGACCGGTTCGAGATTGTGAGCTTATACTTATATCTGGGATCATTAATCACAAACACAGGGTCATTACAAGAAGAGATTAAACGTAGATGTGATCTAGCAAAAGTTGCCACAGCAAAAATGACCAAAATATGGAAGGACTGTCAAATTTCAAGAGCGATAAAGATGAGGTTGATCAACTGCTTAATATTCCCAATACTGACCTACGGATGTGAATCTTGGACTCTGAGACAATCGGAGAGAAGAAAGATAGACGCCACTGAAATGTTCTGTTGAACACGAATGTTACGAATTCCTTGGACCGACCGTAGAACAAATAATTCAATTTTAAGAGAGCTAAAAGTTAGCCAACGACTCTCTAGTAAAGTCCATCTCCAACAATTAAAATATTTTGGGCATGTTATGAGAGCAAACACAGAAAACATGGAAAGACTCATAATACAAGGAAAGGTAGAAGGCCGAAGATCACGAGGAAGTTCCCCAACAAGATGGATAGATTAAATAAATTAAAGATCAAATTACAGGAGTATGCCAAAGACCTATGCATGAATTAAAAGAAATGACCAGAGACAGAGATCTCTGGAGACGGACAATATACGACATCACGTCGACCACTACACTCCCCCTGGGGGTCAGGATTGAAGAGAGAGAAAGAGATTTCCCTCTTCATCTTTATAATATTTTGATATTGTGTTGTGCTGGATTCGCTCGTTAATGGCTGCAATTTCTATTTGATATTTGTCTATCTGTTACCTTTTTTAGTGCTACTGCTTCAATTATTTATGTAAATTTCCTGATCCAACCTTTATTTCTCTACCTTTTCCCATTTCCTCTCTCACGACAACTCTTAGTTCCTTCTGTAAATGAAATTTTGAGCTAAATATCGGAGCCATTTTACATACGCCTATTACGTTGGTGTACTATAATAGCACCAGAATCCATATCAATATTAATTTGTTCGAATAAAACTTAGTAATTCTTCGTATTGAAGGAAGTCATTTCTCTGCGTACAAATAACTGCTTTTAGGTTACTTTCTAATAGCAATTGTGTTTTTTAGGAATTATAATAACGAACATAGATCGACCAATTTCAGTTAGAAATACGCAAGTAGCAAATGCAGAGAAAGAAAAATGTTCGTCAGCAACATCTATCAAGTCAGGTGTTGCTCAAACTGAAAAACTAACTCCCACGAAGCAAGATAACGAAGGTATTGAAAGTGAATATGTTGGTAAAGGCGCAAAGAAAAAAAAGAAAAAGGAGAATACAACTAATAAAAAAACAAAAGATATAAAGGCATCACCGGAGAAAATGGTAACTTTAAGGAATCCCATGTTTTCTTCTGATCAACAACAAAGTGCTAAACCGTTTCTTGATAAAAATGCAGCAGAAAACTCCTCTGCTACAATTTTTACCAACGAAAATGGCATGATTACAATAAGAAGCCCTCATCTGAAACAACAACCTTCAAGTGAAGCTGGAGATTCGACAATAATCCCAAAGCAGACGCCATTAACAGAGTTCGCAGCATTAACTAGTTCCGAGATACAAGACCCACAATCCGATACAGCATGTGCTTTATACGTTGAAGAAAGACTTTCTCGTTTGACAGGAATTGAATTCACTAAGGTCGGTACAAAAAGTGTTAAGCCTAAATCAAGCGAATCTGCCGAGGTATCCATCATACCAATGTCAAGCAACGAAGGTGAAACGTTTAATTTTGACAAAGATGATCGGTTTCTTGGTAAGAGGTTTTTTATTAATAAATAAATATTTTACAGAATAGTCTCCAATCTGTAGATGATATTCTACTGGCCGACCAGGATATGAATAATAGTGTAGTTTTGAGTTCTCAAGTACGTGAGATAATAAATTCGGTCTTAAAATTTACACAAAGAAAGACAGCTAGTACAAATATAGACTTTCAGAAAGTACTTGAATATGTAGCCGCTGCTGTGACAGGTAATTTTCTTAATATTTTTTAATCTTAGAGACATATAACTTTGCTTCTTTCTCATTCAGTATCTGCTAAAATATTTTCATATTCTGGTCGAACAGCACTATAATATATTGTAGCGTGATTAAATAAAACGAGCGGTTCGTACGGTTTATAACTTTACAGGTCGGTACTCTCTTATCAAATAAACTTACTCCTAAGATCGTTACATATATATATACCAAAGTTACTATTTTCTAGAATGTTCCCACCTCTAGGCGTACGTGACAGATGTTTCTGGAAGCATCGAGTCGCTTTCGAGATGCAGCCGCTATACGGAGACACGCTACGTGTTCGTAACACTGCTCCCCTCTTAGATCTGAGCGTCCCGAGCAGCAACTCTATATGTAGGCCCAGGATGGCGGAATCTACAGGACTCTCCAGCTCTGCATGAACCCCTCAGAAAGAAATAACAGTCTACTGTCTTTGAAGGACACAATCTCTTTGGATTAGTGCAACACACGGTAATTCTTACACCGGTTTCTCGGAAGATCACTTCTAGCATGCTTCTGACAATCTTCCAATCCAGATTATCATGGCCTATCTTGGGTAAGGCCAAATTCTTAATGTCGTAATTGCAGACGATTTTCTTCAAATTAGTTAGAGCACACCATATATCCTCGTAGGTTGCCCTGTCTGTATATGACTTCCTGGTCACCATATACAGCAAAGATCGAGAATCATCTTCTAATCTCAGCACTCTTCCAACTTTAGGCTGCTGGTTTTTTAACTCGTCCAAGCGACCAAATTTCTTATAAAATACGGATGAGATTCCTTTAGTCATCTCAAGATCTTGGGCAACACAGTGGGCTAGAGAGACGTTATGCGGAACACTAAAAAGATCCTGCTGAACTTCTGTCGTCACGCCGAATCTAGCACTCTTTCTCTCTGCGTAATTTGACATAAATTCATTAAAGCTTGGTCGCCGATCATCTTTGATCTCATGTTGAAGGGTTCGGACTTCTTCGGTCTCATTTGAGCCAGCATAAGGTGCAAGACGATTTATGTGAACTACTTTTGGTTTACCTTTCGGCAACTTCTTAATTCGGTATATTACGTCATTTATTCTCTTTTTAATTTCATACGGACCCTCCCATTGTCTTTGCAGTTTAGGAGACAAGCCACGACGACGTTGGGGATTATAAAGCCAAACAAGATCACCTACTTCATAGCTTTCATTCTTGCATCGAGAATCGTATTGATCTTTCATTCTGTCACTGGCTAACTGGATGTGTTGTCGGGAAAGTTCATGAATGTTGTTCATTCTTAACTTTAGGCGGTCGACATAATCTTCGCTTGCAACATGTTCTTCGGAAGGTCTGCAGCCAAACTCTAGGTCGCAGGGCAAACGAACTTCACGACCTAACATCAGGCAGGTTGGAGTCTGGCCCGTAGTTTCATTCACGGCCGAGCGGTAGGCCATTAGGAATAAATGAATGTGCTGGTCCCAATCTCTTTGATGTTCTGATACAACTTTGGACAGGTGTTTACCCATCGTTCGGTTCATTCTCTCGACCATTCCATCTGATTGAGGATGAAGGGGTGTCGTTCTGGTCTTATTGACGCCAATCAATTTACAAATGTTTTGGAAAAGGTTTGACTCGAAGTTTCGCCCTTGATCGGAGTGGATCTCTAAGGGAACACCAAATCGGCTAAAGAATTCTTTAACTAGTACCTCTGCAACGGTAGCAGCTTCTTGATTTGGTAGCGCATAGGCCTCAGTCCATTTCGTAAAATAATCCATGGCTACCAGGATATATTTATTTCCATCATTTGTCTCTGGAAGTGGACCTGCAATATCGATTGCTACTCGTTCCATAGGACTACCAACATTGTACTGTTTCATGGGTGCCCTCTTTTTACCAACTGGACCATTACTGGTTGCACACAGTTCACATTTCCGGCACCATCTTCTTACATCATCTTTACAGTTCACCCAATAGAACCGTTCTCGAACCTTTTGCAGAGTCTTCGTAATACCAAAGTGTCCACCTGATGCACCGTCATGTAACTGACGCAATACTTCTGACACTTTACTTTTAGGTACAATAAACTGAATCTTAGATTCTGTACCATCATCGTTCTCAAAGGTTCTATAAAGAAGATCATCTTTCAGCACTAGGCAATTCCATTGGCTCCAGTAACACTTGACTTCTGGACTACATGCACTAATGTCTTGCCAAGAAGGTCTTTCACTTCGACGCATCCAATCCAGTACTCTTTTTATACATGGATCATCTGCTTGAGCGTCTTGTAGCTGTTGAGGCTGCCATTGATCATTAATGACGGTGGTTCGTCTCACGGGGCAAAGTCGTTCTTCTAATTTAAGACAGTGATTACAATTTGCACTGCACGGCCGTCTCGAAAGGGCATCAGCATTTAAATGAACTCTTCCAGCCCTGTGTTCGATGTCGTAATCATATTCTTGTAATCGTTCTAACCATCTTGCCATCTGGCCCTCTGGATTACGGAATTGTAGGAGCCATTTTAGAGCAGCGTGATCCGTGCGAAGAAGAAACTTTCTGCCATACAGGTATTTATGGAAATGCTCGCAAGCCTTTACTACGCCTAGCAATTCTCTCCTGGTAACGCAATAGTTTCTTTCTGGTTTCGACAAGACTTTGCTAAAGTAAGCGATGACTTTTTCCTGCCCATTTTGGATTTGGGAGAGAACAGCTCCTATTGCACTGTTGCTTGCATCGGTGTCCAACACAAATTTTCCTGCCTGTCTAGGGTAGCTTAAAATCGGTGCGCTGATCAGAGCCATTTGTAAGTGTTCGAAAGCTCTTTGACACTCTTCGCTCCATGTATATTCTTTGCCTTCTTCTGTCAACTTGGTTAATGGCTTGGAGATGTTGGCGAAACCTTTGACAAAACGTCGGTAATATGTGCATAGGCCAAGAAAACTTCTAATTTCATGTTTATCTCTTGGTACTGGCCAATCCTTAATTGCTGCAAGTTTTTCAGGATCAGCTGTTACACCACTACTTGCTACAATATGTCCCAAGTACTTCACTTCTCGTCAAAACAAGTGACATTTCTTCGGACTCAACTTCAAATTCGCTGCCCGCAATCGTTGAAAGACTTCTGTCAGATTATTGGCATGTTCATCGAAGGATCTTCCTACTACAATTACATCATCCAAATAAACCAGGCATGTTTTCCATGTTAGACCTCTTAAAACCGCCTCCATTAATCTTTCAAATGTAGCCGGGGCATTACATAAACCAAAAGGCATAACTGTGAACTGCCAAAGCCCTGATCCTATCGAGAATGCGGTTTTCTCACGATCAGCTGGCTCCATGTCTACTTGCCAATATCCACTTTTCAGATCGAGTGTGGAGAACCAACGAGAACCAGAAAGTGTATCCAAAGTATCGTCTATTCTGGGCAAAGGATAACTATCTTTTTTAGTTATCGAATTGAGCTGTCGGTAGTCAATACAAAAACGTGTTGAACCATCTTTCTTCTTTACTAGCACTACTGGTGATGTCCATGGACTGTTTGATGGTTCAATTACCCCCTGTTTGATCATATCTTTGATGATGTCTTCGGCTTCATCTCTTTTCGCAAATGGAAGTCGTCTAGGTTGTTATCTGATTGGCTGAGCGTCTCCGGTATTAATTTTGTGCTTTACTATGCTTGTTTTGCCATTATCCTTCTTATCAATGGCCAAAACATCTTGAAATTCTATTAGCATAGACTTCACTTTTTTAGTTCGTTCATCATCAATATCTTGGCACGTTTTAATTATCGTTTCAACAAGCTCCTTTGGATACTTAGATTTCGACGTTTTCTCATTAGTACTCATGGAACAAATCGAAGCCACGGGAACACACTGTCCGATCAAAGTTCTTTTACTTAACTTAATAGCAGTTCCCTTTAAATTCATAACTCTTACAGGAACGACATCTCGAATTCTCACCAAAGCTTTTGCCGTTAGGAACTCGGCATTGTTCACATCTTCGACCATCCTTAAACTTCCCTCTCGGCAGTAACCATCAGGTTTGGTCATCAAAATTTTCTCACTATTACCGGGTATTGTTACGTCACAAGTAGTTATTAAGCTGATAACATCTTTGTCTTCATGAAACGGCAACTCTTCACCACTGATCTCGAGAACTCCATCTTTGACATTCAATACAGCCCCAACTTTCCTTAGTAAATCCATCCCCAATATGAACTCGTCGGAGATCTCTGCAATTAATATTCGATGTTTCACTGTGGTCTGGCCAATGGATACTGACATATTAGCCTCGCCATATGTATTAATTATCTCACCAGTTGCTGTTCTAAGCTTTACTGTTGCAGGCGATAATTTAAGATTATCTCGTACTACTTCTGGCCGTACTATAGTTCTTGTTGCACCTGTATCTACCAAAAACGATATACATTTATTATTAATACGACCCTCGATGTACAAGCTATAAATTCCACCGGAGGACGTAATGTTCACAGTTACTATGGGGGCTGTGTTTCTCGAGGTCGGCAGTTGCCCCTTAGTGTCGACCCGTTCTAGTTTTCCGACTGTTGTATCATTTTCTTGCAATTACGGCGAATGTGACCTACGTCACCGCAATTCCAACATCTGGGCTCGCGTCTCTTCGGCATCGTGTTATGAACTATTTTTCGTACCATTTCTTCTAGACGTTCATCGTTTGGTTCGTCGCCTTCTTCAATGGTTCTTACTCGATGGCTCCGTGAAATTTGACTAGCTATTTCATGTTCTAAGGCAATAGCGAGCGCTTCATCTAGAACTTTCGGCCTTGCTAGTCGTAAAGCTTTCTGTAATTCACTTTCTTTTAACCCATTGACGAAGGTATCTACGGCAATTTCTTCCAAAATGTTGTCTGGTACCTCCGGATAAGCCAACTGCACTATACGAGCAACATCTGCTTCAAACTCTTGCAAATTCTCACTTGCTCGTTGAGTTCTACTTCTTAGTTGCGCTTTGTAGACTTGTTGTAGATGGGCATCTCCGTAACGTTTGTCTAGTCGAGTGAACAAGGTCTGGTAACATTTTTCTTGACCCTTAGGAATCGATCTGAGGATATCTGCAGCATCACCTCCTAAAGCAGCAGTCAAGGAAACAGATTTTTCTTGTTCTGTCCAATGATTGGCTGTCGCAATAGCTTCAAATTGTCTACGGTATATGGACCAAGAAGACTTTCCATCAAATGGTGGCAATTTGAATCGCATATGATGTGTCGTTTCGTCTCTAGGTGGTTCTTCTTTCACTACCGGTTCTAAGGCCACTGTGTTAACTGGTGGTAGCATTTTTGTGTTTGTTATCATGCTCTCTAACTGTTTGTGTGTAATTAGTGAGACTTCAATGCTCCTCTTTACTAGTGCTCTTTTTATGGATTCAAATGAGGTATTATACCTCTTACTTCACTCTTTATGTGTCTCTCCGCTTTTTTGCTAGAAATGATGAGGATAGCTTTATTACCTTGTATAAACTATGTGGTTGGTATATTACCCTTTCGGTATATTATCTTGGCCTAATGAGACTATAATAAATATATTACTGTTATTTATCCCATTACTTTGTTATACCCTGTATACAAAAAAAGCTTATTTAAATATTTATTTTACAGATAGCGTGTTTTTACCGAAGGAAGTCGTGGAAGATGACTTGGACTCAGAAGAATCGGAAATTGAAGCTTTCAAGCGTTTCTGCTCAGAATCAGTCCCTACGGCACCTAAGGAAAAAGCGGCTCATTTAAATGTTACTGAGGTTTTTAAGAAAAAAAAGTGATTGTTATTTACTTGTTTATGAGTGGGTGTTTAAGTATATCACTTAAATTCTTTTATTGACTGAAATTATATTCAATTTTACGATTACTGATATTAATTTTATTCAAATTAAATTTGAAAGATAGTGAAAGAATATCGGTCTATATTTATTTCAAGTTTCCAAAAGTTTAGTCATTTAGTAAGAAAGCAATGTTGGAATATTACCGATAGAACCCCCAGGACTAGCCCTTTTATAAATGATATACCAAATACACACTAACGATACTCCGATTCTTGAAGAAAATACTATTTACTGATTACAAAATTGTTGTATCCATGAGGAGTCTACAAGGAAACTACAGATCGCAATAAATGAAATAAATGGATATATTTTTCGTTCTCTGGCAGCCGTCTGCTTACACCTGCTTTTTAATCTAAAATCCATCATAACTGGATTGTGACCGCTATGTATATCAGCTACAGGGTATGTTTTCGTAGATTGTATGTACTTCTTAAAGGTGTTATTGAGCAAAATGAAGTCCATTTGATTTCTAACAATTCTGTCTTTTCTGTCTGCAGGTGATTTCCATGTGTATAGCCTTCTAGGATGTTGTTTGAAGAAGGTATTGGCGATTAACAGATTGTTTTTTACGCAGAATTGTATAAGTCTATCTACTCTATTATTCCTGGTACCTAGACCGTATGCTTCTATGTGGTCTCCTTCAGCATCACGACCAATTTTAGCGTTAAAGTCACCCATGATCATCGTTATCTCACCTTTTTTTGTCAGTCGCATTATTTCATCTATGTTGTTATACAATCTTTCGATTTCTTCGTCTGACTTGTCACTTGTTGAAGCATAGACCTGAATAATATTTAGTTTTCTGTGAGTTGTTTGTAATTTCAACATTGCTACTCTATCATTTAGAGGGATGAAGTCTGTGACTGATTGAGCATATTTTAGGTACAGCAATTGGCCGGTAGGCCAATCGTTATAATACGAATATAGGGGAAAGTTGCTTAAATCGTACCGCCTCCTTAATCGTACCACCTCTATTATACTGCTTTATAGATACGCTAGAGCTCCCTGACAGTGTAATTGTGTACTACAAGAAGAATCAGGCGAGTTTCAACAGAGTTGTGCATGTTCGCGCCATTCTGCGTTGACTTATTACAGTTATTGTGTTTTTGAACGTGTGCTTGTAGTTTTCGTGCATCCTACGTAAGCTCACATCTTTTTTAAAGGTAGGTGTAATATAATTTTATCAACACATTTGTATAATACACTTAATCTAGTATCTAAAAACCAATAGGTTAAGGCAAACAGTTTTATTTTTAAGTTATAAATTGCAAATGTTTATGAAAAGAAAGAGTTGCCTTGATCGTACCTTGCGACTTTTCCTTGATCGTACCGGTACGATCAAAGATCCTGTCCCTTATGGAATAAAATTATCTCTGTCTTTATTTTAACAAATCATAAAAAATGCTGAGACCCGTTGATGTTTAAATATAAATGTGCACTTTTTAAACATAAATTTAAATGTACAGGGTGATTAACGCAAGCCTAGTACAGACCATAAGCTTTATTTTTTATGGATCAACCTGAATATTTTTATATTTTTAAAAGCTGCTTAACCTGATTTCAACGAACTATATCATGCAGTGTAGGTTTCTTATAAATAAAACAGGATGAAATTTTGAAATTATAACGTATGAAAACCACTATGGAATAAACTTATTTGTATCTTTATTTTACAAACCTGTAAAAAGGCTAGTATGGATCAACTTTTAATTCTCAGCGTTTTTAATACTTTTTTGAAATAAGAACAGAAATAATTTTATTTCGTAAGTGCCTTCCACACTGTATACAATTACCTACTTATTTTTCAACTAACAGGAGCAATGACAACCTAATACACTTGTGTTTTTGTGTTTTAGATGGCAAAAAGGACATATGGGTCATGGAGCGAGGACGATATGAAGCAAGCTCTTCAAGCTTACCGTAATGGTGATGTTGGATTTAATGAATGCTGCCGTCGGTATGGCATACCAAAGCCAACTTTCAACCGACATCTTAAAGGAAGAAATGTTGCTGCCAATGAAGCCATAAAAATCATTAGTCGGTTGTCTATCTTACCAGTGGACATAGAAAATGATCTTCTAGATCATATTTTTAAGCTAGAAAGCTTAATGTTTGGACTTACAATTACGGACGTAAGACGGTTGGCATATCAAATTGCTGAGAAAAAAAATATTTCCCATAACTTCAATACTCAAACTCAATTGGCTGGAAAGAAATGGTTTTACTCTTTTAAACAGAGACATCCTGAACTTGCTTTGAGAGATCCCCATTCTACATCTTTATTACGGCTGAAAGGGTTCAACAAAGAAAATGTTTATGAGTTTTTTGACATCCTACAGAAGCTTGTTGAAGAAAACAAAGTCGATGCCACACGAATTTATAATATTAATGAGTCAGGACTTTCTACTGTCCAAACCAAAAGTCAAAAAATACTTGCCAGAAAAGGTAAAAAACAGGTAGGTTCAATCTTAAGTGGCGAGCGTGGTGTCAACACTACTATGGTATGCTGTACCAGCGCATCCGGAAACTTTGTTCCACCTATGCTTATTTTTAAGCGTATGAGAATGACGCCTGAACTTAAAGTTGGAGCTCCACCTGGAGGGTTGGTAGACATATCTGAGTCGGGGTATATAACCATTGAGCTGTTTATAAAGTGGCTGACACATTTTGTTGAAATTGTAAAACCAAATTCAGAGAAAAAAGTTATTCTTGTGTTGGATGGGCACACAACTCATTCCAAAAATCTTGATGCCATTGAATATGCCAGGAATCATGGTGTTATATTGTTACAACCTCCCGGACATACAACACGTCGACTTCAGCCTCTAGACAGAAGCTTTTTCAGCCCCTTAAAGACCTACTTTAATCAAGCAGTTAAAAAGTGGCTGAGAACTAATTCTGGGCTATGTGTCACACAATATCAAATCTCTGGATTAGCTACAGAGGCATATGGCAAGGCTGCAACTATTGAAAATGCAGTCAGTGGTTTTCGTGTCAGTGGTGTATGGCCAGTAGACCGTACTGTCTTTAAAGATAGTGACTTTGCAGCGGCTGATAATCTAAATCAGAATGACATCGAAAACGTCAAAAGAGAACTACTGGAAGAACATGCAGACGATCCTGTTGAAATTGACGGTCCCTTGATCCAAAGCTTAAGCAACAGTGATACTGAGTTACCAATAGATAGGCCTAATAGTGAAACAGCTAAGGCTGCTAATGTAGGCTTAACTTGCCCTAAGATCAACATTTCAATTGACACTATATCTCCTATGCCGAAACCACACACTAAATCAAAGAAGGCTTCGGGGATTCAAAAAGCTGCCGTGTTGACAAGCAGTCCATACAAAACTAAACTTGAGATGGCCAGTGAACTGAAAATGGCGATGGAGAAAGTAAAAGAACTTAAAGAGAAATTGGGAAAGAATGTAAAATCGAAAGGTTATGTTAAAAAAGAGAAACTTTGCCAAGTTAAGAAAACAAATAAAAAGATCGTGAGAGAGAAAAAAGAAATTGCCAAAAAAAATCTTGCGGTAGAAATGTCAAACATATCTTCAAAAAAAGAATTACTAAATATGGCCTTCACTTCACGTGCTCCTGATGTATTAATTGACATTGACAGGGAAGAGTGGTACTGTTCTTTGTGCGAAAGTAATACAGTAGAAGACATGATTCAATGTCAGAATTGTCGTTTTTGGTTTCATGAATCATGCGCCGGCATTAAACCTGGACTTAAATCGTTCTTCTGTGTCGATTGTAAATAACTATTGAGAAAGTGTATTATTCAGGTTTTGTTTTAATGTTTTATTAACTCTTTGTTACTTACAATTGTAATAAAATCATGTTTTATTTTAATGTATGGTTGAAATAATGTCCCTAAACAATCACCATAAGACTAACATTGAGTACGATCAAGGAAACCTATGGTACGATTTGGGAAACTAGGTTCCTAATTCGTACCACTTGTAAGCTTTCCGAAAATAATATTTTTTTGTACTATATGACGTTATACGACCATAGAAAAAATAGTTTAGGTTGCCAAATAAGTCAACTTCATTGTTGCATTGTGTAAAACCTAATTGTTCATTATTTATTGAAAATAAAAAATGAAATTTAAAAAGTGGTACGATCCAGGCAACTTTCCCCTAATATTTAAGATACAGTGCGTGGCCACTTAAGTTTACCGCCAAAAATTCATAACCCTACTATTAAAACCACTGATAATATTATTATAAGACTAAATCGCAATAAAACATTAATATACCCAGACACATATTATTATTACACAAGAGAACTCACCTCGTGAATAGCCTTCCTTGTAGTAGCTGTTCTTTCTTCGTGTTTGGCGGGAAGGGCGTTTGTGGATTTTAATATTGGTATCCATGTCTTGTTAATTTTCAGTTCTTCTTCTATTCGATTAAAATTATTTGCCAAACACGCCCCCTCAAGCCGAAACCAGTGGAGGGGAGGCGAGTGGGAAATATAAATATTGCCTCCGTAGTACAACGCAGCTGTTTTATTTACTAAGACGCATAATTGGGAACCTGATCTAAAGGCAACTTTAGATAGAGTCAGAAACAGAGCCCGTCTCCTAGTACCAATCTCGGGGACGTTTGGCAAAACGAACAACAAGACTCTCATACATACTTATAAAACCTTCATTCGACCCGTTATAGAGTATAAGGCTCACTTATACTGCCTCCTTAAGGGCTATCAGAGGAAAAAGTTGCTCTCTACGGAGTGCAGAATTCTACGCAGGACGTGCAGAAAACGGTGGCACTTCCCTTCCCGTGAAATCCATCAAACGGCCAACACCACCCCTATTCTCGAGAGAATAAAAACTCTCAACAGGAACTTCACTCTCAAAACCATCAACGGTCCCCCGTCCAATACCCAAAATACCCTAAAAAGTTCCTGCTCTTTCAGAGGTCATGTAGTATCCCGGTATCCCAAAAACAAACACCC